CTGCAGTGTGGATTACGGACAGTTCACTGCAGATAAAGTACTGTTAAAAACTGTCATTTCAGGCCAAGTGCTCATGTTTGAGTTGCCACTTCACTTTAGATTGCAGGTGACATTGTCCAAACCCCTGACATTTCATGTGGCTCTACACAGAAAATAATATGCATCATTAAGGTGAGCCCAGTCCATCTCTCATTCAAGTCAGTGGCATCTGTAGAATCAGGTTTTAGCCATGCAATGGAACTTTTCTGAGTTTTGCCAAGATCCATCACTCTATTTTCCTAGTTTCTCTATAAGTAAAACCTAGATAGATGCAGTGATATTTATGCAGCAGTTTTACCAGATGGCTCTTGAATCATCTGTTTTCAATGAAAAATGTAAAGACCAGACACATACATACATAAAGGCTGAATTAATCTTTGTAATTAAATGGAACATTACTTTGCTGTGAATGATTTTAGGTTTCAGAATGTATTTCATGCTAATTTTTCAGTGAATTGTAATTGTATTAATTTTTTATATATTTAGAAGCTTGGAAATGATCTTCACAAAGTTATTGTGAGTCAAGTTGATATACAGGTCTGTGTCAGACTCATAAAACATTGTTGGAGTGAGATATACGTTTTGGTTTTTTTCTTTACAGTAAGTACAATATGTCAGTATTCAGTGTTGTTTGCAGGCCTATAAAATCTCAAAATCATACTCTGAGTAGCAAAAAAGGCACTAAGTAGGCTAACACACTTGATTGTCAAGTGAGAATTTGAGTAGACTTGGAACTGGGAACTGGGATGCTTTGGAGCATTGAAGTACATATGTGCATTCCCATGTTGGCAAGTTGTTAAGTCAAGAGTGAAAGGTCATTTATTATTTTGTCTCTGTAGTAAACTGACTTGCAATTGCTTTCATAGTGACAGAAAGGCACAGTGATGATAAAATCCCAACTGTGTTGAAGTCAGTGGGGAAACTACCATGTGTTGTAATGAGAGGTGGAAGGAGTAGGCCCACTCTGGGTCCTTTGCCTCAGAGCCTGCTCTCTCTGGCTGCTTGGAGAGAAAACAGTTATCATGACCTATTCTAAAGCACACTTCTCAGTGTCACCCACTGCAAGCACCTCTTGCTTTCAGTGGCAGGAAAGGAAGCCTGCAGTAATGAGATTTCTTAATTTATCCAAGTCTAATGTAGGCTGAGTGCTTAACGATGGCTGAGGGAAGAACCTCATTTCCCCTTTTCTTTCTGTACATATGGCTATTTAATATGCAGATTAGAGAAAGGAATGAAGTTAGTCTTTAGACCATAAAAAGTAGTGCATGGTGTATTTGCAGTGGATTCATGTGCAATTGCCACATGGCTGGTTCCTGTACATTTGTCACATTTCATTTGACTTCCCTGTATGGTGCACATGCCTCCTGGAAGGCTGGTCTCTTAAACATATTTTTAATCTCATCAAGGGAAAAATACTGACATCATTATCGAAGAGCAAGCCAGTTGTAGAGCATTTACCACTTTCTTGTGCTGTATAAATAAGGAGTCTTGAAACTGCTCTTAAATATCTTGCAAATGAACAGAAAAGAAAGGCATGGAAACGAGACTTCCAACATGCAAATTTAGAAATCTGCTTTCAATATGATACTTTCTAACTTGTCAGTTGTGTATATAAATTGGGCTGTGTGCTGGGCCAGCTGAACAGGTTTGCAGATGATGCAAAGCCCCCTAGGAGGAATCCTAGTTGGCAGGATTCCCAAGGACTTCAGAGTGCTTCCGATGTTCTCTCATGGGTTTTGCTTTGGCCATAGGAAACAGTTTCCCCAACACATCCTTCTCTATCAGCATCAGTTTTTTCTGTCTTATTTGCTCAGATCCCTAAACCACACATATTGTGGTAAGAACTCTTAAGTAACAAATGCACTAAAAATAACTTTCCCCCCTTATCTATCTGTCTAAATACAGACAGCTTTATACATTGATAAAGCATCAAAGTGCTAGAAGCAGCATTACCTTTTGAGTTTACTTTCAAAAATCTCTTTGAGACAAGCTTGCTTATTTACTAGGGTTTTATATATAGCATTTATTAAAAAATATCTTGGAGGTGTCCAACTGTTTTATTCTCATGCTGAGAAATCTCAGTCTCACAACATCAATTGTGAAAGTCACAAAGGAAAAGTATGTGTCACCTGACAAATGTGCCCAGTTCTCGTGAGGTAGTCTAGTTGGAAGAACTATTCCCATCTTCCTTTCCTAGTGCAGCAGGGCCATGAAAAATGTGAAGGATTTAAGTGTCACTAAAATAAAGAAATAATGTGAAATATTAATTATATGGTTATTATGAGATTATGTGATTATATATGATCTTTAGGTCAACCTATGTCAGATCAGCTATTAATGAGCCTGGAGGCATCATCCTCACTCTTAGAGATGTTTAAGGAGTGAGGTCTAAAAGGGCCAAAACTTGGCAGTCCCAAGTTGCTGTTCTCTGTGGAAGACTGAGATGGATGTGGCAGATATTCCACAAAGACCCAAAAATGTCTCTGCAGTGGAAATTAACATTGTTGTGGCCACAACTAGCACCATAGGTTGTCAGCTTCGTCTCTACCTCTTTCAGCAAAGAAGCACTTCCAGATCTAGACTGGCTTTATACTCCTCTGCATTTACAGCCAGTGAGGCATGAACTTATTTGCTTCAGTCTAGAAATTGAGTGCTTTTAAAGGATATAATCTAGGTCAAAATAAAAAATATTCTTTTATGTCCCAAAACAGGATCAACAATTTTTGATCAACATTGTAATGGCTAAACCATTAGCGAAATGTCATTATATTGACAGTTAATCCTCATGTTTTCTTTAAAAGCCACTGTTGATGTTTTTGCAAGTTGCACTATAAATTGTTTTTAAGGGTTCATCATGTAAGTCAGTTTTTATATCTATTTAATTCAAATGCTAAGGTGTTCAATTAAATAGATTCAATGCAGTGGTTACTGTGATTCAGATGGGTACTCTGGAACTCATGCAGAACATTTGAGATTCACTGAACTTGTTTAAGCAGCAGACTTAGTAGAAATTAAAACTGATGATTTTGTGCTTTTCTTTCTCAAGATTAGTTTTTACTATGATTTAAATATGGGAAATGGTAAAGGAAATTTTATGGCTCCTTGCAAAGATCACTGACAACACCATCAGCAAAAAAAATTCGACACTTTTGATTACATACAAACTTGTAGATGAATCGTGCTCCCTCCCAATTTTTTATCCCTCCTCCCCCTCCCTGAAT